TCTGGCACCTGTCAGCTGGATGGGCTCTGGGAAAAGGAGGATGGGGAGGGAAGGAATGCAATGCCCCCCTTCCCATGCCCTGGTATTAGAGCCATGTTTGTTTCTACGGAGGGCTCCCTCTGTTCTGAAAAGTGCTGTTAAGTACACATCCAAACTAAACAACTGGCAGAGGGATGCATTAACAGAATGATGAAGGTTTTTTTTTTTTAATTTAATTTTATCAAGTTCCTTTAACATGCAGAGCCTGGGTGAAGTGCTGGCCAGAGATGGAAGCCCTTTAATCCAGCCCAAGGGGGACCCACCCTGCAAACTGGATGGGGCTTGGCTCTTTGATCTTACCGTCCAGCCACTCTGGGCAGGGCCCCACTACTGGCTACAGCGACTCCAGCACGACTGCCTTCTTAGTTCAGAGCGGAGTTGTGAGGAGTCATCAGATATTTGACATCAGAATCAAAGGCTATATAAACACAAGGCTTTTACTTCAATGCAGAAATAATAATTGCAGCTTGGAATTGACAGTTTTTCCTTCCAAAGGCTTTAAAGCTATCTCCCCTCCCCCGCCTCTCCTCCCCAGCAAGAGCTTTCTTAGGGTCATTTCTTGACCATTCTATGACGTCTTTGTGAGGTCGCTGACTGCAAACGCTCTCCATGTGCAGACAGGGAAATCCAGAATTAAGGCCGATTTATGCTTCTATGCTGTGGGACTTGTGCATGATTGATTATACGCAGGGCCTGACCTCTCACCACAAAATTCTGTGGTTTTTGTCCAATAATGAGAAAAGACAACTGAAGGAGTGCAGTATACAACATAAACGGGTGAGTGACAGGGCCACCTGACGTGCCCTCGTACTTTACAGTTTATAAATCGCTTTCAGAGTTGCCCTTTCATGGATAGGCAGCGTACACACTCCTATTTCACCAAAGCAACTGGACGTCGGAAATAAGAGCCAGGGTGCTGGCACCGCCATGGAGGCCGAGTTTCTCACGCCGGAGGCGGGGCAGCTTGTGGGTAAGCACTTCGCCTTCCAGGAATAGTACTGCTCTGAGACTGCTCTGTAGACTGCCTGGAACGGAGATTAAGCGCAGGGTTCTCTCTGCATTCCATTTAGCAGCTTGCTCATGCTTTCACTACAGATCAGGCTCAAGAATTCCTCTGCCAGCTGAGAATCTGAATGTTGCTTTGGCTGTAAGACAGTATCTTATTTATTCTCATAAATCCCCTCCTCTTCTGGTGCCTGACTATTTTCACCCGAAAATGGGAAGGGAGGGGGGCGAATTATGTGAGCGTTTGGGTCCTGGACTGCAGCCACCCCTGGCGATCTTTGTTAATCTTTCAGATTCTCACCAGCATTGACTACAGAGCAGTGACTCACCCAGAGTAATACATAGTCCCTCTTGCCTTTAGAAAACGAGTTCCTCAAAAGTGCTGCTGAGAAAAACAAAACAACTATAGTGGAAGGGAAAGAAAGTGCTAGGAGCTGAGATTGCTTTAAATGAGCCTACGAGATTTCGAAGGCGGGGGTGAGTATCTGTGAGTGATGAAAAAGTGGATTGTGCACTTCAGATTTCCTTCCTAGTTCTGGATTTGAGGCTTAAACATCTCTAAACATGGTTTATTTACTTTTATTTTGTTTGGCTGTTAGGTTTTTTTTTTTTATTTCAAGACTGTTTTAATTGTACACATTTATGGGCTACAGTGTGAGAATGCATGTAGTCAATGTGATGATAAAATCAGCCTAGTTAGCAATTACTAAGTGTTAATCTAAAACAATGTTTTAAATGTTTGAGGAGACAGAAATGCTTTAAAACTCTTTTATCCAAGGGAAGTTACGACATGAGGAAGTCAGGTTACCTCAGCCTCAGCTCACTGCTTGAAACTTGCCAGGAGCTCTGAGTGTTTTGCAGCTGAGCACCCCTGGCCAGAGGGGTGGAAGGGAAACAAAAACTGGGGAGGGAGGAATAAAACTGAGAAGCAGTTGGCACAAATGCCGCCTCGCCCTTCCCTTGTAGCCAGCTGTATAGACAGCTGTCCCTTTAATTTAACCCTTGGTTTGTTCCCCAAATTGGAAAGCTGGTAGCTATTGTTGTTGTTTTGTAAGGCCCAGGAAAATGCAGAGGTGAGGGTCGTTTTGATACAAAGTTGTCCTTTTTTTTTTTCTCACATTGTGTCTAGAAGGGAGACCTTGTCAGGAGGGCTGTGTACAGAGATATGGAAGCACTGTAACCAAGGCGTCTGGAGGAGGGAGGACAGGCTGCACCGGCTTGGAGGACAGTTTCGCTTAGACTCATTTTTGTATTCTCAAGGCTAATTGTGTAAATGGGAGCTTTTTGTTCAAGAATGGCTAATTGTAGATGCACGTGGACTTGTTTTTCTACACTTCCAAGGAGCTAACTCAGCAATCCCTTCAATAGCTCTGATCAATAGAGACCAACTTAATTACTCATCAACCTGGAGACTAGATGGGTAAATATGTGCAAACTGTTTTCTCTTCCAGTGGACTTAGACTCAGAATCCTTGGGTGTTCAGAATCCTTGGCTAGGAGTTAAACCCTGCAGAGCACTGGGGAGGAATTTGAGCTTGTGAAAGAGAAGTCAATTGCCCAGGGTCACATGAGCTTAGGAGAAATGCCATCAGAAAGGAACTAGTTCCTTCTTCTATAGCCCAGTGGTTTCTGTCCACCCTCCCACCCACCTCCTTCAGAGACCCCCGAATGTACCCAACTTGACAAAGTCTATTCGTTTTACTCCTGGCTATTTCAATTGCTATCCCATGACAATGTTGGCAAGCTCAGTGACTGAGCACACCCTTGATCATAAGAGAGGACGTGCTTATTCCTGTGCTCCTGACCCAGCTGGGGAAAAGCCACGTTGCTGTCTGCAGCTGGCCTTTCACTCCATGCAGGCAGGATGGGGAAGCCAGGGAAATCGGTGCCTCCAAAGGATGCAGCTACTTAGAGTCTTGGTGCTCTCTCTTTTTTTTTAATGAAAATGGTATATATTTATGTTGAACAACCCAGTGAGCAGGTATATACATACACACTGTGAATGATTCAATCAAAGTAATTGGCATATCCTTTGGGGCTGGGGGGAGAGTGGGGAGATGTTGGTCAAAGGTACAGAGTTTCAGTCAGACAGGCGGAATAAGTTCTGGAGCTCTACTGCACAGCATGCTGGCCACAGGTTATAATAATAGCCTACATACTTGAAAACTGCTAGGAGAGCACCTTTCAATGTTCTCACTGCAAAAGCCTTTATCTCTGCTACGAGTCCTAGTCTGAAAGTCTCAGAAGGTGAAAATTCCCCTCTGTTCTTCATTTAAAACTATAACATGATTGATAGATACAAAATGTTTACTAGTTGTAAATCATATATGTATGTAATTTCTACATATAAAATACTTATATTAAGGTTGGGGGGAGGCCAGTGCTGTGGCACAGCAGGTTAAACCACTGCCTGTAATGCTGGCAACCCAGGTGGGCGACGGCTCGAGTCTTGGTTGCTCCACTGTTAATGTCCTGGGAAAAGCAGTGGAAGATGGCCCAAGTGCTTGGGCCCCTAGAGACCTGGAAGAAGCTTCTGGCTTCACCCTGGCCCAGCCCTATCCGTTGCTGCCATCTGGGGAGTGAACCAGTGGATGGAAGATATCTCTCTCTCTGCCTTTCAAATAAATAAGTTAATCTTTACAAATAAATAAATAAATAAAGTTAGGGGAGCCAGCATTGTGGCACAGCAGGTTAGGCTGCTGATTAGGATGCTCGCACCCTGTATCTGGAGCTCCACTTGGAGTCTGGTTGTTCCGCTTTTGTTCAGCTCCCTGCTAGTGGGCCTGGGAAAACAGCTGCAGTGTGCAGTCTTCCACCTGGGAGACCTGGCTGGAGTTCAGGTTCCTGGCTTCTGCCTGGCCCAGTCAAATTCATTTGGGGAGTGAAACAACAGATGGAGGATCTCTTTTTATCACTGTCTCTCCCTCTCCCTAATGATTAAAGGAAATCTTAAAAGAAGAAAGTTATGAGAAATAATTAAATAAGCACCCATGATCGTACCATTGCCCTTCAGCAACAGAATATGACCAGTTCTATTGCTGCTCCTCGCCTGCTTTCCCCCACCCCATCACTCTTTTTCCCAGAGGCACCCACTATCAGGAACTTTAAAAAAAATCACTCCCTTGAATTTCCTTATGAACTTTTTTTTTTAAACAAGAGAAAGCAAATTTATTTTAAAAACCTTATGAACTTAGGAATTTCCTTATGAACTTTTTCACATATATGAGTATCCCTGAACAAAATACATTTAAGATTTGCTTGGTTTTAAACTACAAATAATGTTATTTGTTTTTACACAAAATCGTATGCCCAAGACTCACATTGTTATCTGTTGCAGTGGTGTGCTCATTTTCACTGCTGCATAGTATTTTCTCTGTGCCATCGTATCACACATTCTATTGTTGAAGAACATCCATTGTTCCTACTGTTTTGAGATTTGAGCTATGTTCCTATGAAATTTGTTTTCTAGTACGCTTGCACAAATTTCTCTAAGGTTTATTTATAGGAGTGGATTGTAAAGTATACGTATGTCTCAATTTATTAGGTAATGCCAAATTGTTTCCCAAGTTGTTTGTTCAATATATGGTCCTACCGGAAGCCCTTAGTAACGGATCCATAAACTCATTAACACTTGATTTGGTTAAATTATATTATTTTCTTCCAATCTGGGGAGGGATGTTAAAATGGAATCTCATGCTTTTGTTTTTTTAATTTGTCTTTCATTTTGGCTTTTTAATTTGCATTTCCCTGATTATTCATGAGCTTGAACATATTTTCATGTTTCTTGGTCATCCAGATTTCCTTTTCTGTGAAAGCCTTGTTCATATCTTTGGTCCATTTTCTCCTAGATTGTCTTTTTATGTGTTGTTACATAGAGTGTGTATAGTCCATATAATATTACAGTTATATGAGTGCTAAATATGTTTTACCACTTTGTGGCTTGTTTATCATTTCCTGGTGTTTTTTTTTTTTTTTTTGGTGAACAGAGGCATTCATTTTCATATAATTGGATTTATTGCTTTTTCCCTTATATTTGGTACTTTTTGTGTCTCTGTAAATACATTCTCCCCTATCGCAAGACCACAGAGAAATTCTTGTATGTCAGTGTTTTTTGTGAAGAGGGAGGTTACTGGCATATGGGACAGAACAACTAATGTGGGCTGGCTTTTACACTGCAGGACACTTAGCATCCCTGGACCCTGGGTAGTAAATACCTTTAAACACTATTGTCAAATGTCCTCTGGGTGGAGGTACTGCCAGTTGAGAACCACTGGTGTGTATTTTCTTCTTTTTTAAAAATTTCTTAGAAGATTAATTAATGAATTAATTCAAAAAGTAGAGCAACAAGACAGAAAGTATGTGTGTGGGTGGGGGGAGAGTAGAACCTTCCAACTATGGTTCATTCTTGAATGACCAGAACAGCCAGGGCTGAACCAAGCTGCAGTGAAGAGTCAGGAAATTCATCCTGCTCTCCTACGTGGGTGGCAGGGGCCAAGACACTTGGGCTATCATGTGTTGCCTTCTCAGGCACATTAGCAGGAAGTGGGATCAGAAGTTGAGCAGTGGGGGCTCAAATCAGATCTCCAGTATGGGATTCTGGCATCAAAAGGAGCAGCTTAATTGGCTGTGCCACAATGCTGACATCGTGTATATTTTTTCTAACAATTTAATGTATTTAATACACCTAGAATTGAATATTATGCTTGCTGTGAGGCAGGAATCTAATTTTATTTTATTTTTCTTAAGGGATAACCAGTTTTCCCAACATTATTTATTAAAGAGTTCACTTTTCCCCCTGCTGATTTCCAGCGCTATCGATCATATCTGAATTTTCCAAGCAGGTATATGTCTATTTTTTGGTTTCCTATTGTTTCCTATTCTGTTCTATTAGCTTATTTGTTAATCCCTGCAACAATATTAACACAGCTTTAAGTACTATAGCTCTCATATGATAAATCTTAATATCCGAGAGAGTAAGAGCTTTTTATATTGTTTTTTAAGAATGATTTGGGTTTTTTTTTTTTTTTTGCATTCTCATATAAATTTTAGAGCCAGCTGTCAAATTCTATGAAAAATCCATGGGATTTTGATTGGAACTATAATGACTATATTGATTATATGTTGACTGTAGAAGGTATTTTTACAAAATTGAGTCTCCCTACCTGTGAATAGGATCTGGCTTTCCATTTCAATAGTTTTATAATTTCATATATAAAAGATCTTTGGCATGCCTTTTGTTAGGTTTATTCTTAGACACTTTGCATTTTTTATTGCTGCAGTATCTATCTAGAAACTGCATTTTGGATTCTTGTTGTTGCTATATAAAAATGAGACTTGGGGCCAGTGCTGTGGCATAGCGGATAAAGCCGCCACCTGCAGTGCCGGCATCCCATATGGGTACTAAAGAGTCCCGGCTGCTCCACTTCCAATCCAGCTCTCTGCTACGGCCTAGGATAGCAGTAGAAGATGACCCAAGCGGTTCAGCCCCTGCACCCGCATGGGAGACCTGGAAGAAGCTCCTGGCTCCTAGCTTCAGATGGGCACAACTCCTACTGTTGCAGCCAATTGGGGAGTGAATCAGTGGATGGAAGACCTCTCTCTCTCTGCCTCTCCTTCTCTCTCTGTGTAACTGACTTTCAAATAAATAAATAGGGGCCGGCGCCAGCATCCCATATGGGCGCCGGTTCGAGACCCAGCTGCTCCACTTCCAATCCCGCTCTCTGCTATGGCCTGGGAAAGCAGTAAAGATGGCCCAAGTGCTTGGGCCCCTGCACCCGCGTGGGAGACCAGGAGGAAGTTCCTGGCTTTGGATAGGCGCACCTCCAGCCATTGCGGCCAGTTGGGGAGTGAACCAGCGGATGGAAGACCTCTCTCTCTCTCTCTCTCTGCCTCTCCTCTCTCTGAGTAACTGTGGCTTTCAAATAAATAAATAAATCTTAAAAATTGAGACTTAACTCCTTATAGTCTCTCTTAAATGTATATCAATCAAATGCTCCAACTTAGATTCATAAAGATTGCTCTTGGCAAGGCCACCCATGGCGCACTGCTGCTAGATCCAATGGTCAAGTGTCAGTTTTCATCTTACTTGATTTCTCAGCAGCATGACACCACTGGTCACTCCCTCTTCCTTGAAACACCTTCTTCACTTGGCTTCCAGAAGTGCACACTCTGTTGATTTTGCTCCTCATTTCCCCAGTTTTTTAATGATGAACTGTCCCAGGGAACAGTCCCTAGATCTCCTCTCTTCTCTAACTGATCTCATCTACCTCAGAGCTTTAAAGTCTACCCATATGTTAACTCTCAGTTTTGTAAAAGCTAGTCCAACTCACTTTCAGGATCTATCTAGCTATATATTCTCCTTCTACCTACCTGACATCTCCAACTTAACATATTCAAACATAAGTTTTTTTAAAAAAATTATTTAAGTTGTACAGGTTTCATGTATTTCATATATACAGATTTAGGAACGTAGTGATACTTCCCACCCTACCAGCCCATGCTCCAACCTATCTTCCTCCTCCCTCTCCCATTCCCACTCTTAATTTTTACAAAGATCTACTTTCAGTTTACTTAATGATTATAAAGTTAACCCTACTAAGTAAGAGAGTTCAACAAAACTTATCATCTGAAACTGTGCCTCCCATAGTCTTCTCTATCTCAGTTGCTCACTCCATCATTCCAGTTACTCAGAACAGACCTTAGAGTCCTTGTGTTCCCATCCCACACACAATATGCTAGAAAATCCTACTCATTCCACCTTCAAAATGTATACATATTTTCCATCACTTTTTTTAAAAGATTTTAGTTATTTATTTAAGAGGTAGAGTTACAGACAGTGTTCACTCCCCAAATGGCCACAACAGACGGAGCTATGCCGATCCAAAGCCAGGAGCCAGGTACTTCTTCCTGGTCTCCCACACGGGTGCAGGGGCCCAAGCACTTGGGCCATCTTCTACTGCTTTCCTGGGCCACAGCAGAGAGCTGGATTGGAAGCAGAGCAGCCGGGACTCAAACTAGCACCCATATGGGATGCTGGCACCTCAGGCGGAGGATTAACCTACTGTGCCGCAGTGCCAGCCCCTCTATCACTTCTTACAATTTATACTGATATTGTCCTAGTTCAAGACACCATCATCTTTTTAAAAAATCTCTTTATTGAGATATAATCTATATACCATATAATTCACCCATTCACAGTGTACAATTCAATGTCTTTCAGTGTATTCACAGAATTGTTTAACCATCACTACACTCTAAATTTGGAATATTTTGCTCCTAAAAGAAACTATTATTCATTGGCAGCCACTCTCTATTCCACATCCATACCTCCCAGCATTGCCTTAAGTGCCCACTAATCTATTTTCTGTCTCTATAGATTTATCTATTCCGGGCATATCATGTGAGAAGAATCATACAATAGGTAGTCGTTACTTTAGGTACTTTATTCCTCTTTATTGCCAAATAATACTCCATTATATGGATAAGGAAGTACCATATTTGATTTATATGTTAATCAGTTGATGGATACCTGCATTATTTCCACTTTTTAGCTAATACAAATAATGCTGTTATGAACATTTGTGTGAAAGCTTTTGTGTGGCCACATGAAGGTACTTCAAAAAGTCTGTGGGAAATGGAATTAAATGATACGCTTATTTTGCTGCAAATATTTGAAATTCACTCATAGTTTATTCATAGTGCACATTTTTGAACTTTTTGAAGACTCGTCATATGCATGGATTTCAAAAATTTTACACCAAAATAAACTTATCTTTTTATTCCATCTTCCAGGAGTTTTTGAAGTATCCTTGTGTGTTTTCATTGGGTTTTTACTTTGGAGGGGAATTGCTGGATCTTAAGGTACCTCTATGTTTAACCTTCGGAGGGATTTGAGGCCATTTTCTAAAACAGCTATACTTTTACATTCTCATCTGTGTTGTATGAAAGTTTCACTTTTCCACAATTTGGCAGTGTGTGAGTGTTCTGGTTCTTCACATCTTCGCTACCATTTGTTATCTGTCATTTTGACTGTAGCCATCCTACGAGGTGTTAAGTGGTATTTCGTTGTGGCTTCAATTTTCATTTACTTAATTATGACTAACGATATTGAACATTTTTTCATGTCCTTGTTGACCATTTGTATATCTTTTTTGAATAAATGTCTATTCAGATTCTTTGCCCGTTTAAAAATTGGGGTATTTCTCTTTTTATTGAGTTGTAAGCATAGTCTAGATGTAAATCTTATATCAGATATATGATCTGCAAACATTTCCACTCATTCTACAGGTTGTCTTTCCATTTACTTAAAGATACCACTTGCAGTAGAAAAGTTTTTAATTTTGATGTAGTCCAATTTTTCTATTTTTTATTTTGTTTGTTTTTGGTATTGTACAAAAACCATTGCCTAATAAAAGATCATGAAGATTCACACCTATGTTTTATTGTAAGAGTTTTGTAGTTTCAGCACTTAAATTTAGTCTGATACATTTTGAAGCCCAACTTAATTTGTGGATAACCAGCTGTCTCAACACCACTTATGAAAAAACTATTCTTTCAGCCCTGAACTGCTTTAACACCCTTGTTTATAAACAAATGACCATAAACATGATGGATTATTTCCTGACTCTCAATTCTGTTACATGGTCCATATGACTACCCTTATGCCATACACACTGTTCTACTTACTGTAGCATTGTAGTATGGTTTGAAATCTATAAGTAATAATGATCTCATAGAACTGTTAAGGAAGTGTTCCTTTCTAAACCATTTTGTTTTTGGAAGAATTTAGAACTGCTTTTGATTCTTTAAATTTTTGGTAGAATTCACCAGTGAATCCATCTGGTTTTGGATCTTTTTTATGGTGGGAGGTTTTTTGACAACTAATCCAATCTGTTTAATTGCATGTCTATTCAGATTTTCTATTTCTTCTTGAGTTTTGGTATTTTGTGCCTTTCTAGGAATTTCTCCATTTCATCTAGGTTGCAGAATTTGTTCAGAGCATTCTCTTATAATTCCTTTTTATCTGTGAAATGAGCTCACCAGAGGCCAAATAGACAGGGTTGCCTGATTTATGGTTTTGAGCCTCTAAACCAAGTTAAATAAACTTCTTTCCTTTATAAAGTACCCAGCCTCAGGTATGTTGCTATAGCAACAGAAAATGGACTAAAATACTCTGGTATTATTATTCACAAATACACACCTTCTTAATTTTATGTTATAAACATAACCATATTTTTATAATTATTAGTTTATGCAATTTTATGTCTTTTACAAATGCTGACAGGAAAAATGAGAGTGAATAAATGTTTTTAGTGTTTGTTGTACTAATATTCTTATTTATTCATCTGGTCCTTTTCATTTCTTCCTGTGGGTTTGAGTTACCATCTGGTGTTATTTCTTTATTGCAATATAACTTCATTCCCATCCCCTCCTTTGCTGCTATTATCAAATATGTTATATTTCTATATGTCTATAGACCTAATAATACAATCATACTCATATTGCTTTATTCAAATGCTTTTTAAATCAGTCAAGAGGGGAAAGGGGAAGAGATATGCAATTATATTATCTTTTCTAATTAACCCCATAATTACATTTTACCAGCGCTGTTTCTCGTGTAGATTTCAAATTACTGTCTGGAAGTACTTGCTTCCAACCTGAAGAACTTCACACATTTTTCTTAAGGAAGGTATGTCACCAATGAATTCTTTTAATTTTATAATGTAAGAATGTCTTTATTTCACTTTTATTTATTTATTTATTTGACAGGTAGAGTTATAAACAGTGAGAGAGAGAGACAGAGAGAAAGGTCTTCCTTCCGTTGGTTCACCCCCAAAATGGCCACAACGGCCAGAGCTGCGCCGATCCGAAGCCAGGAGCCAGGTGCTTCCTCCTGGTCTCCCCTGCGGGTGCAGGGGCCCAAGCACTTGGGCCATCCTCCACTGCCCTCCCCGGCCACAGCTTGGCCACAGCAGAGAGCTGGACTGGAAGAGGAGCAACCAGGACTAGAACCTGGCGCCCGCAGGCAGAGGATTAACCAAGTGATCCATGGCACCGGCCCCTCACTTTTAGTTTTGAAAGATAGTTTTGCTGAATATATAATTTTTGATGCCTTTTAAAATTTACAGTACTTCATGTCATCCTACACTGCCTTCTCACCTGCACTGCTTCTAATGAGAAGTTAATTGTTAATCTTATTGAGGTTCTCTCTTTTTTTTTTTTCTTCAGGGTTCTTTTTTTTTTAAATTCTATTTTCTTGACAGGCAGAGTGGACAGTGAGAGAGAGAGACAGAGAGAAAGGTCTTCCTTTGCCGTTGGTTCACCCTCCAATGGCCACCGTGGCTGGTGCGCTGCGGCCGGCGCACCGCGCTGATCCGAAGGCAGGAGCCAGGTGCTTCTCCTGGTCTCCCATGGGGTGCAGGGCCCAAGCACTTGGGCCATCCTCCACTGCACTCCCGGGCCACAGCAGAGAGCTGGCCTGGAAGAGGGGCAACCGGGACAGAATCCAGCGCCCCGACCGGGACTAGAACCCGGTGTGCCGGCACCGCTAGGTGGAGGATTAGCCTATTGAGCCACGGCGCCGGCCTTCCCTGAGGCTTTGTTCATCTTTCTTAATCTTTATTTTTTATTCTGTTCTTCAGGCTGCATAATCTCTCTTGAGGTATCTTCAAGTAACTTCTGCCAACTCAAATCTGCTATTGAACCTTCTTTAGCAAATTTTTATTTTGGTTATTATATTTTTCAACTCAAGAATACCTAGTTGGGGGGGGCCAATGTTGTGGTGTACTGGGCTAAGCCTCTGCCTGTGGCAGCAGAATCCCGTATGGGTGCCAGTTTGTGTCCCAGCTGCTCCTCTTCCCATCCAGCTCTCTGCTGTGGCTTGGGAAACCAGTAGAAGATGGCCCAAGTGCTTGGGCCCCTGCGCCTGCGTGGAAACCTGGAAGAAGTCCCTGGCTCCTGGTTCTGGATCAGCTCAGCTCTGGCTGTTGCGGCCATCTGGGGAGTGAGCCAGCAGATAGAACACTTTTCTTTCTGTTTCTCCCTCTCTTTGTCTGTAACTCTACCTCTCAAATAAATAAATAAATAAAATATTTAAAAATAGAATACCTAGCCAGCACCATGGCTCACTTGGTTAATCCTCCGCCTGCATCGCCGGCATCCCATATGGGCACTGGGTTCTAGTCCCGGTTGCTCTTCTTCCAATCCAGCTCTCTGCTGTGGCCCGGGAGTGCAGTGGAGGATGGCCCAAGTGCTTGGGCCCCTGCACCCGCATGGGAGACCAGGAGGAAGCACCTGGCTCCTGGCTTCGGATCGGCGCAGCTCTGGCCGTTGTGGCCATTTTGGGGGTGAACCAACGGAAGGAAGACCTTTCTCTCTGCCTCTCTCTCTCTCATTGTCTATCTGTCAAATAAAAAAATAAGAATATATAGTTGATTCTTCTGTACAATTTCCATCTCTTTAATCTCTTTATTGATATTTTATATTGCTTGAGACACTGCCATAATATCTTTCTTCACTTCCTTAAGCACAGTTATCCTCAGTTCTTTCAGCATACTTACAATAACTAGTATGAAATCTTTGCCAGCTAAGTCCACTTGCTGGGCCCTTCAAAGACAGTTTCTATTATATGTCTCCTTTTGTCTTCTCTGTATGAATCATACTTTCTGTTTTGTTCTGTATAGCTTATAACTTTTGGTTGAAACTTGCCTATTTTATTTTATTTTTCAGAAGTTTTACTTCAGAATAGTATTAAATTCATAAAGCATCTTTATTTAGTGTAGGAGTAATTTTATGTGTATAAATTTAATTGAAAATAGATCCTAGTAAAAAATAAGAATGGGAATAGGAGAGAGAGGAGGAAGAAGGGTGGGAGGGTGGGTAGGAGGGAGGGTAGGGTGGGAAGGATCACTATATTCCTAAATTTGTATATATGAAATGCATGAAGTTTGTATACCTGAATAAAAAGGTTTCTAGATTAAAAATAAATTTATAAAGCAAAAATTGTGAAGCAGTACAGAGTTCCCATATACCCTCTTTTGTTAACATTTTATATCATAATATCTAAATCACATCCAACTTCCCCTATTACTTTTTAAAAGTTTGTTTATTTGAAAGATAGAGCAACAGAGAAAGAGAGAAAGAGAGGGAGAGGGAGAGGGAGAGGGAGAGGGAGAGGGAGAGGGAGAGGGAGAGGGAGGAAGGGAGGAGAGGGAGGAAGGGAGGCAGATGGGCCAGGCTGCAGCCAGGAGCCAGGAATTCCATCCAGGTCTCACACATGGCTGAGGGTGACAGGGGCTCAGGCACTTAGGCTATCTTCCTCTGCCTTCCTGGGCACATTAGCAGAAAGCTGGATTCTAAGTGGAGCAGCTTAGATTAGAGCCAGTACTCTGATACAGGATGCCAGCATCACAAACAGCGGCTTAGCCCGCTGTGCCACAACACTGGCCCCTAACTCTCCCTGATATTTACATCTTATATTCATATAATATATTTGTCACACTCAATGGACCACACCCAGCTTCCCCTATTTTTGTAATCCAAACTTCCTTTATTCCCCCCACTCTTCCCAGCCTCTAAGTAATCAACATCCTGTGTTCAGATTTAGGTTCATTTTAGCTCCCACATGAGGGAGAACATGCAATATCTGTCTTTTTGTGGCTAACGTATTTCACATACATTTTGCTACAAATGACAGGATATTACTTTTTTATGACTGAATAGCATTCCACTGTGTATATATGCCACATTTTCTTTTTTTTTTAACTTTTATTTAATAAATATAAATTTCCAAAGTACAGCTTATGGATTACAACGGCTTTCCCCCCCCCATAACTTCCCTCCCACCTGCAACCATCCCATCTCTCGCTCCCTCTCCCATTCCATTCACATCAAGATTCATTTTCCATTCTCTTTATATGCAGAAGATCAATTTAGTATATATTAAGTAAAGATCTCAACAGTTTGCAAAACACAAAGTATAAAGTACTGTTTGAGTACTAGTTATAGCATTAATTCATATTGTACAACACATTAAGGACAGAGATCCTACATGAGGAGTAAGTGCCCAGTGACTCCTGTTGTTGATTTAACAAATTGACACTCTTGTTTATGGCGTCAGTAATCACCCTAGGCTCTTGTCATGAGTTGCCAAGGCTATGGAAGCCTTTTGAGTTCGCTGACTCCGGTCTTATTTAAACAAGGTCATAGTCAAAGTGGAAGTTCTCCCTTCAGAGAAAGGTACCTCCTTCTTTGATGGCCCGGTTCTTTCCACTGGGACCTCACTTGCAGAGATCTTTCATTTAGGTCTTTTTTTTTTCCAGAGTGTCTTGGCTTTCCATGCCTAAAATACTCTCATGGGCTCTTCAGCCAGATCCGAATGCCTTAAGGGCTAATTCTGAGGTCAGAGTGCTGTTTAGGACATCTGCCATTCTGTGAGTCTTCTGTGTATCCCACTTCCCATGTTGGATCGTTCTCTCCTTCTTAATTCTATCAGTTAGTATTAGCAGACACTAGTCTTGTTTATGTGATCCTTTTGACTCTTAGACCTATTATTATGGTCAATTGTGAACAGAAATTGATCACTCGGACTAGTGAGATGGCATTGATACATGCCACCTTGATGGGATTGAATTGGAATCCCCTGCATGCCACATTTTCTTTATTCATTCATCTGATGATGGACACCTGGGTTGATTCCCTATCTTGACTAGTGAGAGCAGGTATCTCTTTGATATAATGATTTCATGTCCTCTGGATATATATCCAGTATTGGGATTGCTGAATCATATGGCAGTTCCATTTCTAGCTTTTAAAGAAATATCTATACTGAAACGTGGGTATTTTAGATCATAAAAGTACTCTGAGTGGTGATTTCCCTCCATGCCGCCATCCCAGCGGTGTGGTGGTGAACTGCTTGGTCATTTTCTTATTAATGATTTGATTGAACTTACTCTGTGAATCATTCCTCCCTCCAGTGTGAAGCCACTGATGACCCTGCTCATATCCCCCCCCCCACCTCCATTTTTTTCTCCTTTTAGCCTGACTACCTAGGGGTCACCCCTAGGTTGGCACAAGCCACTTGTCAAGGTTTATGTAAGCCTCCTAAGCCAGTTAGATTTCTATCCTTTAGCATTGGATGTTTGTGGCTTGGAGACTACTATTAGGAATTTTTATTTTTTGCCATTTATTCAATCAGGAACCAGTAGTTGGTATGTTTCCCCTCTGGTGGCTCCTGAGAGGGCACAGTCAGGGGCATGAGCACAGTCTTCCAGACTACTGGGGATGAGTGTGATTTTAGTTTTAAGCCTGGATTCCTCAGGGTCACCTGTGGGCCAGAGTAGCTTATTCAGTCAGGATTTAGTCAAACGTTGTGTTTTTAAGCCCTTGTCTCATTGAACCTTTTTGGCCTGCATTGATGTGTCAGTGTGCAGTTCAAGAAATTCTTTCTTTTTTTAAAAAAAATATTTTATTCATTTATTTGAGAGAGAGAGAGAGAGAGAGAGAGAGAGAGAGAAAGTGTCTTCCATCTTCTGGTTCATTCCCTAAATGGCTGCAATGGCCAGAGCTGCGCTGATCCAAAGCTAGGAGCCAGGGGCTTCCTCCAGGTCTCCCATGAGGGTGCAGGGGCACAAGCATCTAGGCCAACCCCCACTGCTTTCCCAGGCTGTGAGAGAGAGAGCTGGATTGGAAGAGGAGCAGCCAGGACTCGAACCGGTGGCCATATGGGATGCCAGCACCGCAGGTGGAGGCTTAACCTATTGTGTCACAGTGCGGGCCCCAAGAAATGCCTTCAAGTCTGTCCCTCAACCTACTCTGATTGGCTTCTGAGTGGATACAGCCTACCACACATGCACTACTTCTCGATTCCCTGAGTTGACTGTGACACCAGGAGGCCACTTTGTTGTCACGTTCTCCGGTTCACCAAAGTTTCCATTTTCCTCTACCAACATTTCTGTTTTGTGTCTTTACAATACCCTCAGTCATGGATTTCTCCATTCTTTGTTCCAAATTTTAGTCATTTCCTTCAAGCAGAGCTAGGAGTTCTTCACCATTCTGACTGGCCTTTTTCTCCTGGGCAAGACTCCTGTGTGTCACTGCTTCAGAGCTGGGGACAGCAATTCACTTTTCCATGGGTGACATGCTGTCTTCATGCAGGGGCACTGGAGGGTGGTGACAATCCTCTGTCCTTTCAAACTGCCCCTCCTGGTGTAGAATCCCTGCCCTGTGAGTGAACTGGGTGGTGGTCAGTGCATTGGTATTCTCAGTCTGTTGTGCCTGGCGTAGTCTTTCTGCCATAGAAATGAGAGGTAGGTAGAAGAAGAGAGTCTTAGTGCTCTTTGCTATTTCTACTTGGACTAGAGCTTCTAAATACAGGGCTGAGAGGGATGAGAAACACTAGCAGGCTGCCCCACCCTGGATAAAACCATAACCCTTGACTGCGAACTGGGGGAAGAATGAGCCCCTGGCTTCTTGGCTATACTTGCCCAGAGTAGTGTATTCGGGATAGGATTTCTGTAAAACAGAGTTGGGGAAGTTGTGGTAAGAGAGTGGGTCATGGCTCAAATACCACAGACTCTCATTGTTCTGAGATTTAGTAGATTTTTATTTGAATGGATGTTTCTCCATTTGCTGTATGCCCTTAGGATAATTTCCAAAGACTTTAAATGATTTTTTAAAAGTAATTATCACCAGCCACATGAGTATTGTTGTTTTGGAGTAGGTTTTCAGAGGTCCTCATTCCACCACTCTGACAGTCTTTAACCCACCTTCATCTTTTACATTGGTTATGGAAACAGCTCCCTAACTGGTCTCCCTGGCTTCACACTTGCCCTTCTAAAGTCTATTCTAACATGGCAGCCACAGTGATCACATTAAATGCAAGCCCAATTATGACTTCAGCCTGCTCAAAACTTTCTCATGGCCTCCATTTTTTTCCCTCAGAGTAGAAAAAAAGTTCTTAAAATGATCTACAAGGCTCTAATCCTCTAGCTCTCTGTTAAATCTTCAACATCATCACCTACTGTTCTTCCTCGCATTCATTCTGTTCCAGACACACTGTCTTCCTTGCTGTCTATCCAACAAGCCTGACACTCCCAATACTGTACTTGTATGGTTTTGGTATTAAGGTTATACTAGCCCCATAGAATGAACTGAGAAATGCTCCAGTTTTCCCCTGTACTCATTGGAAGAACTTTTATAATATTGGAATTAATTCTTCCATGACTACTTGCTAAAATAATCTAGACTTAATGTTCTTCTTGTGAAAATATTTTAAATTACTGAGTTTTTTTAATAGCTATATAACTACTCATGCTTTCTAGTTCTTCTTGAATCCGTTTGGGTAGTTAACTTTTTCTAGGAATTTGTCCACTGGTCTACATTATACAATTTATTGATTATAAAGTTATTTTTAAAGTATTTTCTTACTGAAATTTTAGCCTCTGAAAAAAATTTTTTTTGACAGGCAGAGTGGACAGTGAGAGAGAGACAGAGAGAGAAAGGTCTTCCTTTGCTGTTGGTTCACCCTCCAATGGCCGCCGCGGCCGGCGCGCTGCGGCCGGTGCATCGCGCTGATCCGATGGCAGGAGCCAGGAGCCAGGTGCTTCTCCTGGTCTCCCATGGGGTGCAGGGCCCAAGCACTTGGCCCATCCTCCACTGTACTCCCTGGCCACAGCAGAGAGCTGGCCTGGAAGAGGGGCAACTGGGACAGAATCCAGCGCCCCGACCGGGACTAGAACCTGGTGTACCGGTGCCGCAAAGCGGAGGATTAGCCTAGTGAGCCGCGGTGCCGGCTAGCCTCTTAAATTTATAGAAAATATCCTCCTTTCCTAATAGTGTGTTTTGGCTTTATCTTATTTTTCTTGATCAGTATTTCCTCAGGTTTGTCAGTTAATCTTTTAAAATGACTAATGATTTTGATGATCTCCTTTATTTATCTTTTATATTTTATTAATTTTTGCTCATGTCTATTAATCACTTCCTTATGCTTTCTTGAAGTTATTCTATTGTTCATTATCTATCTTAAGTTGAATGCTCAGCTCATTTACTTTCAGACTTTCTCCCTTTTTAGCGTAATAACTTAAGGTTATGGACACCCCTCTAAATACTACTTTAGGTGGAAGGTCCAAATTGATTTCTGTGTCTTTCCCAGTTTCCACAGGAATGTCTTTGTCAACCAAAGGGTTATTTAAAAACTGTTTTTAAGTTCCCAAAAGCTTATTTTAAAGAATAAGCTATATATTTGGATGTATTTATATAGTCTTATTTTGTGGTTTGTATTCCATTATTGCTGTGTTTTCCTATGTGGTACTTTTTGCTACTTTGTTGACTTCTTTTGAATTAATTGAGGTTTATTTTTCCTCATTCCATTTCCCCATTCTATTAGTTTGGAAGACATTCATTCTTTATTATATTCTTCTAGTGGCTACCCTTGAAATTTTAACATGCTTTTTTAACTTAATAAAATTTAGAGTTAATATATTTACCCTCTTCTCAAACAACATGGGGACCTTAGAATGCTTTGACTCTAATCCTTAACAGCATGAGTTACTATTGTGAAGTCTTAAAATTCTGTGTTTTTTGTTTGTCTTCTTCTAATCCCATAAATTATAAACTAATAATATTACTCACACATTTAACTTTTTTTCCTGCTCAAAGTTCTTACTTGTATCTCAGAACTTGCTTTTTGTTGGATAATTTTCCTTACTTAGTGAAACTGGTAAACTTTAAATACTTTTATATCAAAACGCTTTCATTTTTCAAATTATTCTCCAAAGATAGCTTTACAGAACACATAATTCTGAGATGAAAATTATTTTCTCTCAATGCTTTCAATGTCGTATTGTAATCTGGCCTCCTTTGTTGCTTCTCGAGAAAGCTATCATTCTAATTTTTGTTCTTTTGTTAATGATCTGTCTTTTCTCTAGCTTGTTTTAAGATTTTGCCTTTGTTGCTCTGTGGTCTGATTATTATGTAGTGTAGATATTAATTTCTTTTTATTTATCTTATCTGAAATTTCTTAGGCTTCCTAAATCTGCAGATTGTTGTTTTGGGAAAAATTAGAGAAATTTTTAAGCCATGATTTATCTGAATTTTTTTTTTCCTTTTTATTTCCTTCTAGAACTTTGAAGAGATAAATGTTGGACCTTCTTGCTCTATCCTTCATGTCTCTTGAACAATTTTATTTCTTCCATTTCTTTGTATCTCTGTTCAGTAATCTGTGTGATTTTTTCCAAACATCTCTCCCAGTTTATTAATTTCTTTTCAATTGATGTATGAATCCTCATTGGGGTTTTTAATGTCAATTATTATGCTTTTTTATCTCTAAAGTATTCTATTTAGTTCTTTAATATCCCAAATCATTTTTAACAGTCTTTTTCTCTTTGTTTTGTACTCTTATTTCTTTAAATAAATTTAACATACCTATTTTATATTCTGTGTATAGTAATTTTCAACATCTAAAATCCTTGTGGGTCTGGTTATATTTTGCCTTTTTTTCCCTGTTGGCTTCTCCTTCCTGGCAGTTGGTTTTCTTGTGTGAATTGTGATTTTTGATTGTGAAATAATGTTTGCCAACTCTCTGTGGGATTTCCATGAGGTCTAGGGATATGGGTGCATTCTTCCATGAAAGATTTCTATTTGATTTTCTTTGGTATTGAAGCATTACAGACCTAGGTTCAATTTAAATTAAAATTCTTGGCTTGTGGCTTTTTGGACAACTCACATTTTATATATATATATATATATTTTTTTTTTTTCAAGCTTCAAACCTAGTTGAAGGCTGGTGCCACAAAATCTCAGGGAGATTTTTGTTGATTTGTTTGTTTTTAATTCTAACCTAAAGTTAAAGCCAAGACAAAAAATTTTCCTTGCCATCTGTCCCTTTCCCCGAGCCTTAGGCCTGTGCTGTCTAATCTAGTAACCATTAACCACTAACCACATGTGGCTATTAAGTTTAAATTTAAATTAAAATAAAAAAATAAGCTCTTTAGTTTCACTACCCACATTTCAGATGTTCAAAAGCCACATGTAACTAGTGGCTACTGTATTGGACAGTGCAGATACAGAACATTTCCATCATTCCAGAAAACTTTATTGGAAAGTATTGTTTAGAAAATCTGAAACTATATATGCCCCCAGGGTGTATGGTGGTTTTAGAGATAGCTACACCCTTGAATGTATTTTTTGTCAATCTGTGTCTTTAAGTCTGCATTCAACAAGGACTATGTGATACATAGGAAAACGGCTCTTCAAAGATGTCCGAGTCCTAATCCCCAGAACTTGTAAACATGCTGTTTTATACAGTAAAAAAGACTTTGCACATATGACTAAATCAGGGATCTTGAGCTGGGAAAATTATCCTGGATTATATGGATGAGTTCAATGTAATCACAAGAGTCCTCATAAGGGAAATCAGGAAGCAGGAAAGACAGTCATCACCTCCCTGGTGACGTGGTGACAGAATGCATAGGTGTGAGTGACGCACTTTGAAGACGGAGGAAGGGTCCAAGAGCCAATGAATGCAAGAGAAGCTGCAAAAAGCAAGGAAACAGATTTTTCCCTAAAGCCTCTGGAAAAGTAGTCCTCTGAACCCATTTTAGACTTCTGACCTTCAGAACTGCAAGAGAATAAATTTGTCGTGCTCTAACCTACTAAATACATGATAATTCCTTACTAGTAGTAATAAGAAACTAACACAGACCATACAAGGGGCCAGTCAAGAAAGATTTTGTTTCAGTATACCAAAAACCTGTGGCTGGGGCTGGCATTGTGGTGTAGTGGGTGATGCTGCCATCTGTGATGTCGACATCCCACATGGGTGCTGCTTTGTGTCCCAGCTGCTCCACTCTGATCCAGCTCACGGCTAATGGCCTAGGGAAAGCAGTGGAAGGTGGCCCAAGAATTTGGACCCCTACACGCACATGGGAACTTGCAAGAAGCTCCTGGTTCCTGGCTTTGGCCTGGCCCAGCTCTGGTCATTGCAGACATCTGGGGAATGAACCAATGGATGGAAGATCTCTGTCTCTCTCTGTCTTTTCCTCCCTCTCTGTAACTCTGATTTTCAAATAAATCTTTAAAAAATCCTGTGGCTCCCCAAAGGCACTGAGTTATCTTTCTTATATCTTCTCACTTCCCCCTTTTTATACTTCTCTTTGGCTCAGAGGGCCCAAGGCCCATGGCAGTCAGAAATCTTGGAATCTATACTTTCATCCATTTTTTTCAACACATATAAATATATACAGTAGTCTCCCCTTTTCCATGGTTTCATATACTCATGGTAATCTGTCAT